AAATCATAAATTTAATAATAGAAATTTAACATTATTAAATGTGAGATTTTTTATTAATATTATATATATTTTATGTATATATAATAACAAAATTAACTATAAACACGCAGTATTATAATTGATAATTTAATCAAAGTAAATATATGTATAATATTAGTTAATATTGATCTCATATTTGATAGTCTTAAATTTTTATTATTGAATTTATTATTTACGAGATATATAATATTTATAGATATTACTAATGAAAGATTAAATATTAACATATATATTTATAAAATTTTTACACTTATAATCGACAACCATTGATTGTCGATTATACTTATCCCGCCTTCCCCACCCAAAAAAAAGGTTAAATTTCACGGTTGATTTTATTTGAAACATAATCGATAATCATTTTAAAACATAATCGACAGAATTTTTGTCGAATATATTCTATATATGGCCACAAAAACATAATCAGCAAATATCTTCTCATTTTCTCTTACTTATCCCCTCCTCCTTCCTTTCCCACAAATGTTTCACCCCGTTTCCCTGGTCCCTCTATTCTTATCATCATCTTCTTCTTCTTCTCCCTTTCATTTTTATTTTTCTTTCTTCTTTCTTCTTCTCCCTTTACTTCTACCTTTCTAATTCTTGCATTACATGTCTTCATCTTTCCCTCTTGTTTCTACTTTTCTTTCATCATTCCTTCTACCTTTCCTATTTTCTTTTTTGGTTGCCATCCTTCTACTTTTCCTTCATTTTCTTTCATCTCAAGCTTTTTATTTTCTTTTAGTTATTTATTTTTTGTTATTTTCATTTATCATCCAATTATTTTTATTTGATCTACTGATAATTTTTTTTTATTTTTGCATATTATTAAGCTTAAAATCATTTTATGAGATAAATTCACATTTTGATTTATATTTTTCATTTCCTTTTAATTTAATAAAATCTTATAATGTATAATAATGCTTTTTCCTTTCCCTTTTACAGATATTTATATTTTATTATAGGTAAATTACTTATCATTTATCTTATTTTTCCATTAATTCTAATAATATTTGAGTATTATTCTTGTTTTTCAATTATTCTTAAAATTATTTAATATATATTGTCGGTGCACTTGATTGATTTTGTCATTGAATTTTGTTTAATGACTTTATAATTTAATTAATAACTACAAAATTAAAATTTTAATTCTACAATTTTTAATTTTTAATTTTTTTTATTGTTGGAACAAGTATAATTGACAGAATTTTCCTTATAATCGATAACATTTTCTGTCGAATATACTTTGTTTTCTAGTAGTGAACTAAGAGGTGCACAAAATTTTTAAGAGGTTATAGCTCAGCCTTTTTGGGGCTCACTCAGAGAACGCAAAAAATGCAGCCTCAATTTATAATTCCGCACTAAGTAGTTCATTCCAAGTGTTAGGGACCCCTGGCAGGCACCAATGCAAGCAATCATTTGCCTTCTTCCCGTAATAAGATATGTGAGCTTCATCCCTCATATTAGAAATAGCCATAATATCCAAAATCTCGACCTTGGTGCCCTTGACAGCATCTGAAAGAATTTTATCGCTAGATTCATCTTGCATGACTTCATTCCCTCGTGTCATGGGAACAGTGTTAGGACAGCTGTTGGAGATTTTAATTAAATAATTGTAAATCATTTGTGACCAATCGGTTATGAATCCACCATTTTTCAAAAATTAAGTTTGTGCAGTTACAAACCCATGCTTTCTTGGATTTGTGCATTTCTTTCTTAAAGAAAAAATTAAATTCAAACACTGTAACCGACCAGCAAATGGCTCACCAATTTCAAAATCTATTTTATTCACCAGTTTCAATTCTTTGTAACTGACATATGCCATTTTAAATTCCAACCGTTTCTCATTTTAATTTACTCCAGTCATGTGGCTGTGTGAAGGCCTATAAGTAGGCAGCCTCCATTTCTACAGAAGTTTTGATATATATATTTTTTTCATAATCTGCACTCCTATTCTAAAAAAAAAAAACACAGCATTCAAACTCTCTTTAGGCAAGGAAAAGATGATGGGGTAGAGCTTTCTTTATAAAAGTGCAGTACTTGTAAAGATACAACAAGGAGGTTGGGCTGTTGTATCCTAGGGGCGGCGTGACCATAAAAATTTGCTACACCAGTTGCATGAAACGTCCTAAAGAGAGTGATTGATTCACGCCTCAGCTCAAGCTCCTCATACTTTCGATGACATCTTTTTACTTTTCATTTTCATCTTTAATTAATTGTTTCTTGCAAATCTTCTGTCTATTTTTTCTTCTATTTATTTTACAAGGAACAACAATTTTAGGATGTTTCAAAAGAAAAATTCTTTTAAAAAAAATGAGTTTACCTTTGAAAAACCTGTTAAGCTTGCTAATGATCTTAACATGCCTTTTCGTTTTAACGATGAGCATTTCAAAAGATGGAAAGGAAAAGTTTTATATTATCTTATTTTGTTAAATTTGGCATATGTCCTCAATGAGGAAAATCCTATTAATTTGTCAACTGAAGGTATGAATGCTGAAAAAAAAAATCTCACAAGAAGAAAGTCCAAAAGTGGGAGAAAGATGATTATGGTTGCTGCAACTCTTTACTTAATTGCCTTTTTGATGAACTTTATGATTATTATGAAAGAACTTACTCCAGTACCAAGGAAACTTAGGATGCTTTTCAGAAAAAATATGACACTGAGGAGGCTGGTGCGAAGATGTGTGTAGGTAGCCGATGGCGGCGCTTCCAAATGGTGGATGACAAGTCGGTGGTGTCACAAATTCGAGAGTAACAAATGGTTGCTCATGAGTTTCAGTATGAAGGCATACAAATTGATGACAACCTCGAAGTTGTAGCCATTATCGACAAGCTGCCACTTTCATGAAAGGAATTCCAAAAGATGATGCGTCACAAGCAAAAGGAGATCACCATGGAAAATCTTTAACTCGTATTCGAGTTGAAGAGGAGGCAATGAATCAAGATGCTCAAACTACAAATGGTGGTGAAAGCTTTTGAGAACCAAAGTGGAAAAAGCTTTGGGTTGGTATATTTTGGAAATGTAAGCTAATTTTTTCTTTAAGCTTGCGTGACCAAGGACCCTTTTGTGGCGATGAAAAGTGAGATGAGCAAATATGCTCTTATAAAAATCTTGTGAGCAAAATGAGTTTCTTCATGAACTCAATTATTTGAGAAATGTGATAATCACATATTTGAGATGCTCCCAATGTGGGGGATTGTGATATTCCTATATATTATTATTGGTGATGAGACCAATGATGCCTAATTGAGATTTTGCATAGCATTCCTATTATACAATAAGGTGTAATGGTGCTTAAGAAAGTAAATGTGATATTCACTCCTATTATACAATAAGTTATAATGGTGCTTAACAAAATAAATGTGATATGCATTCCTCTTATACAATTACGATATAATGGTGTATGATGAGAAAAAAATAATAAGGCACTTGAGAAAAGGGGTATGTGATGGACATTCCTATTGTACAACAAGGTACAATGGTGTTTGAGTCAAAAATTCTTAAATACATGTTTTGACATATATGGAAAGAAAAAGGTGGTTCACTAGCTCAATATCAAAAATTGTGGTACCATGAATTGAGAATTTGAGAAATATGAATGTGAATTTTATGAGCTAGCAGACAAGTGGGTTGATGTGAAAATGTGAGAATAAGAATGAGTTAAATCTCTTCGTTACCCACTATACCACCAACTAAGCCTTTGGCAAAAACAAAAGTTGGAGGAAAATCTATGATCATAGTCCAAGGTCTAGTGCTTATCGAGGGGAATGGGATTCAAGCCCAATAATATAGAACTTCCTATGAGGATACCTAACCCGAATTCTAAGAATTGGGTTTTGAATGGGAAAAATGAATATAGAGAAGTCGTTGTTGAAAGATGTATCAATATTTAACGGAAAAAATTTTCGGTCCCATTCCTAAGGTGAGGATGCATCGATCCCATAACGAATTGAGGGTTGAGTTTTATACTCTTAATGAAATTTGTAACTCATAGAGTGGGGTGTCTTAGTTATAGGAGCATCCTTGACAAATTTCACCTATATAGATGTCGGAGTGGGGCCGCTCCTATGAGAATAGGGCTATTCTCTAAATCATCCATGAATATAGGATTAGGCACAAAGGCCGTAATGTGCCAGCTTACAAGCTCAAATTAACACCTGGATTATAATGTGTGTAATATGGTCTCCTATATTCTCTAAGTAGTCCTAGTTTAAGACTTTGCTCACTAGTGACTTTGGGATAGGAATCATTGACTCACTAAGTAGAGGTTCAAGGCATTGCTACCTCTATTATGCATAGTAATCCATCCTTGCCTATATATTTTTCATCTTCTAAGTTTCTTTTATTTTAATTAAAATGGAGGGGGAATGTTGGAGGTTTTAATTAAATAACTGTAAATCATTTGTGACCAATCGGTTATGAATCCACCATTTTTCAAAAATTAAGTTTGTGCGTTTCTTTCTTAATGAAAAAATTAAATTCAAACACTGTAACCGGCCAGCAAATGGCTCACCAATTTCAAAATCTATTTTATTCACTAGTTTCAATTCTTTGTAACTGACATATGCCATTTTAAATTCCAACCGTTTCTCATTTTAATTTACTCCGGTCATGTGGCTATGCGAAGGCCTATAAGTAAGCAGCCTCCATTTCTACAAAAGTTTTGATATTATTTTTTTTTTTCATAATCTGCACTCCTATTCTAAAAAAAACACAGCATTCAAACTCTCTTTAGGCAAGGAAAAGGTGATGGGGTAGATCTTTCTTTACAAGAGTGCGGTACTTGTAAAGATACAGCAAGGAGGTTGGGCTGTTGTATCTTGGGGGCAGCGTGACCATAAAAATCTGTTGTACCAATGGTACGAAACGTCCTAAAGAGAGTGATTGATCCACGCCTCAACTCAAGCTCCTCATACTTTCGGTGACATCTTTCTACTTTTCATTTTCATCTTTAATTAATTGTTTTTTGCAAATCTTCTGTCTATTTTTTCTTCTATTTATTTTACGAGGAACAACAACAGCTTCCCCGGTGTTCCAATCTCCCTTAAAATAATGTCTAGGTGATGTGCTCCTAAAGAAAACTCTCAGCTTTGGACGTGTAAAATAATCTGTGAATGAAGCCATTTGACAATGTTATTCACTTTAAAAATCTTTGCACTCTCGATTTTCCTAAGGTTTTTATCTTTAAGAGGCTTTCCGTTCAAGTACATAATCTCTTTGTCCATGTTAACCATTCTTAAGGACCAGTGGCGAGCTGTGTTGAGGACTAACACATCGAGGTCATTGATGTGATCTTGTATGAATGCTGGCTGACGGTCCAAATGCATGGCGTAAAGTGTGTTTGGATCAGTAGCATTTATAGGCTCCCGGCCGGGCGCAGAGTCTGGCTGACCAAGAATGATGGTGGTGTTGGTGCTCTGAAAGCGGTAAGCCCAACCATGATGATGGACTGCTCCTCTATGTAGAAACAAAAGAAAATCATATTTGCTTGCAACGTCTTCAACATCTGGACTATCTTTCCCTCCGGTCAGCATACACATCAGAGACTGAAATTGTTCCCTGCTCAATGAATCTCCTATAAAAGCTATTGTTTTGTCCCGCATCCTTCGTTTTAATTAGAAAATAATTTTAGAGATTGAACTCAAGTACACTAACATTAATTATGATCAGCTGATTGTGATTTAATCTATATTTTCCAATTTCAAGATTAATTAATGAAAAATAAAAAATTAGTAACTCAAGCATATCATATATATTCAATAGGTCATGGACATTTACATCATTAACATCATCATAAATACCTAGTCAGGTAATGGTAAAGAATGATACAGCTATATTTTTTAGCAATAAATATAATGGACCTTTCAAAGTTTTCAAAAACCATGATATTTAAAGAAACAGTTGCTAGCTAATTTACCCTCGCAAGACCAAACCTATAAAAAATGATAATAATAACCTTGCCAAGAATGCAGAGGGATCAAACTTTGGCATGCTACAATCTCTTGGCTGCCACCGATAACCCTCATAAGAGAAATCTGTTCGGTTTGTCAATCTGCAAGCCCAATTTCTTTGTATATACTTGCATCCAGCTGAATACAAAGGGTAGCCGCTGTCTGCAACCCATCTACCCTTTGCATAATTGCATACTGCAGAGACCAATACCCCCAAAATTAATCCCTCAAAGAGAAGAAAAACTATTTGGCAATAGAAATGGAATGCTGGATCAATTTTTTCAATCAACAAAATAAGAAACAGAGATTTGAGTTTTGACTTAAAAAATAAAAGAAGTAATCAAGCAACAATTAAAAGTAATTAATGTTACATTTTTTTATTTTTTTTACACATCTGAAGATGAGCTATGAAATATAGATAACGAGACTACCTTTTGTTTCAGTTATAGATGTTCCATTCTCATCGTTGTCATCTTTCGGAACTTCTTCTATTGGTTCTCTCGTTTCTTCATTTACAAGGGACTGAAATTTTCCATCTTCATTTTGCACTCTAGGTTCTGCGGAAGCGGTTGAGTTATTTGGGCTGTCATTGTAAGATATATACGGGGAATAATGAAGGTAATAAAAGCAAGGCTAATTAAAGATTAATAGATTGGCTGTAAATCCATTTTCATCATATTTAGTCTGTTTTTATGGGTCAATAGCTAATATAAAATGGAATTCCAAGAATGGATTAACAAACAAACCAGAAGGAGGAATTGCAGACACATCATGGGATGATAGATGAGTAAACAGAGAAGGATAATTTTCCCGATCCAAAAGTAACAAGATTGTCAAAATAAGAAGCAGAGCAAGAAAAAGATATTTCCTGCACAATCTACAATAATAGTCTCCATCTTTCATCTCCATTTTTGCACTGCAAAAAGAAAACAGAAACTGAAAAATTCTTTATAGCATAGAATTTAATTTCATACATTTTAATTAAACCAAAAATAAGAAGTAAAGAATTGGAAATCAATTTTTTAAAATTTTTTAATCAAATCAAACACGAATGGGTTTAGTATTCAAATCATGGTGCTTATATATATATATATATATATATATAAAGTAGTCAAATCAGGGAAATAAAATGAAAAGTTTTTAATCCAGGCGAACAAAATGATGTGGACTTGGAAATCAATTTCATAAAATGAGTAGGTTTCATTTAAAACAAATACTACCCCAGCCAAAAATGTTTACATATGCACCCATAGTAGCAAGACATAATCAATGTCCTTCACAGCCTAAGGCTTGTTTGGTTTCATGAAAATAAAGGGAGAGGAGAAGAGGAAAATGAAAGAACATTTTGGATATGTTAAAATAAATAAGGTTATCTTTGGTTTGAGGAAAGTACGTGAGGGAAAATGGTGAGATGAATTTTTTGATAAATTAAATTGTAATATTTAAAAATATTATAAATTAATTAATTAAAAAAACTATTTCTTTTCTTTATCTCTTTCAAACCAAACATACAATTAACGAAACGAAAGATAGAAAGGTTAAATCAATGACGGGTCTAGCCAAATAAACTGAAATCATTTCAACAAACAGGTGAAGACCCTCAAAACCAACAGAAATTAGGGACAGGCTTTATACCTACTTTAAATATCAGGTTTTGAAGTATCATTTAGCATTGAAAAATCAGAAGAAGCTTTACAGATCATTGTCTATAACTAAGGAGAAAGAAAGATGAAAAACGGTATTCTATGAAGCCTCATCCTATGGTTTCCGTCAATGGAATATCGGAGACACGGTTGAAAGATATTTATATATGAGCGCGACTTTTCCTTCTTCTTGTGAGCATTCAAGGTGAAGGCTTTTCTTTCTCTTTCCAAATTCAAATTTCCCTAATCAACATTCAACAGTAATCATATATTTTTTTGTTTTGTTTTGTTTTGTTTTTTTTTTTAAGTTAAAAATAATTTTTAACATTTAAAAGTAGTATTGATTATCTGGGCACAAACAGCCAAACTTGCATTTTCCCAGTGGAACTGCATTTCCGTGGTTCCAATTCTCCTTTATTTATTGAAAAAGTTCCTTTCAAGTATTTATAATAAATTGATGATCAAAAGGTATTTGTTTATAGTGATTTTTTTTAAAAATAATTTGTTTATAATTTTTTTATATGGAGAATTTCTTCTGGAAAAGTTCAGATTTTCATTTTCTTTTTTTTTTTGATAATCTACTTTTTGCACCAGCATTTCTTTGTTTTTCAGTTCTCTTCTCTCAATTTCAAGCCTCTATCTCTTTTTCTCTATAGTGCATATCATGCATTAATGCAAAAATTATTTTTAAATATATATCTTATTGGTTTGAGAGGGAATGATTAGAACACATATAAGACCATATATATATATATATATATACAATCCTTTGTTTCTTTCTATTTCAATCATATATATACATATGTGATTTTCATTTCCAAAACGTTTTAGTCATTTAGGTTTCCTTGTCTTTAAATATAAGAGCCTAAGCATCCAATATATTTTTTTTTTCTTTTTTTGGTCTCCAAGATATTTTAAGTTAAAAATTTTTTTAATATCAATATTAATATTAATATATTAATTTTTTTTTTTGGGTACATAAGAAGTTATAGAAGTTTAATTTCTAAGGAACACAGTCCCCGCAGGATCATGCTAATACCCAATATCAATCTATTAATGGCTTTTACAAGTTAATAATTATGTGAACCTCCTCTATTACCTTGCTCAAATGATAACAGTTCACACTTTTTATGACATAATGACATGCGAAATTCTCAATGGTATTTTTTCGTTTTTTTTGAAAAGCCAAAGAAAAAGTTATTTTATTATTTTAGGGATCTTATAAGGAATACTCTACTCTTACAACAAATCTGTATGAGTTACAAAACTTTTAGCCATTATCCATATTTCCAGACTAACTAGTATATTTATCAGTTTGCATAACCATGAAAGTTAGCTCAAACCTATAACGAATACTCTACCCTTAAAACAAACCCTTGCAAGTTACAAAACTTTTAGTTATTATCCATATTCCAGACTAACTGGTTTATTTACCAGTTTGCATAACCATGAAAGCTAGCCCAATCCTCCGCCCAGTTCCTTTTAAACTTGTGATGCATTTAATTATAAGTTTTACATATCATACTTATATAAAATTTTAATTTTTAATTTTTTGTATTTTTAATTATTGAAATTTATTTATATTTATTTTTTTTAACATGATTTATTTATATTTATTAAAAATAAATCTCAATAATTAAAAAATAAAGAGATAAATTATAAAAATTTTATTTAAGGATAATATATAAAACTTGTGTAGAAATACATTTTTCTTATATATATGTTTAATTTTGAGATAAGATTGTGACACTACGTTTGTCATCATTTTCACTTTTAGTAAAACATTTTAACCTTAACAGTTCAAACAAATGGTTAATTTTTTCTTTTCATTTGTGAGCAACCGATTGCGTTACAAAAAGCAGTAGGATTTTTCTGTTTATCTTGACAGTGAAAAAGGATTTCTTCTTGTTTGATAACAGACAAAAGAAGAGGAGCGAGAACAAGAAGAGTAGGAGTAGAATGTTTAAGATCCCTGAAGTAAAGGCCTACGAGGGAAAATAAACCAAAAATAATAATAAATCTGAACATTAAAAAGCTGGAGCAGCATGCAGAGCCCTATGTCCCACGCTGCCTTTGAGCAGCGGGTGGTTTGCAATGGTTCGAGTTTCTCCACTAACAGACTAACATTAACTCTGATCAATTTCTACTGTCAAAAAGAAAAAAGAAAAAAGCTAGAGCAGCATGATTTTTATTAATTTATCTGAAATTTTTTTTTAATATGTGCCCCTAAAATACATGTTAAAAATATTTTTTTATTATAAATATATAAAAAATATAAAAATTAATATTAATTTTAACATCAATGTCAATTAAGTAAATTTAATTAAATAATTAATAAATTAAAAAATAACTTTTATTTTTTCAATATAAATTTATGATGAAAATATGTATTTAATATATTCTTAACTTATATTTTAAGAGCACAAGTTAACAAACCCTTATTTTACTACCAAGACAGTCATGATCTCAACAAGAAATGTGAAGAACCATTGAAATGCCTGGGAAGAGTAGATTCCCTTGAAATGAATATATGAAAGAACTGACATTTTAGAAAAATTCAAGGATCAATATAATCAATATTCCAAAGCAACATACTAAAGAACAACAATTTTGGACTGCAGATCTTCCATAAAGAACTATAACCTTACAGTTGAGCAATGAGGAGTTCATTCCATGTATCTGGAATGCCAGGCAAGCACCAATGCAGGCAATCATAGAAAACCGATGTTCCAAAACCACCGAAAACCGATGTTCCAAAACCACCGTAGTTGGATTTATGAGCCTCATCTCTTAGTGAAGAAAGCGCACTTATATCCAAAATCTTCACCCTTGTGCCCTTAACAGCACTCGCGACTACTTTATCACTGGATCCATCTTGCATGACTTCACTCCCTCCGTTCAAAGGAGTAGTATTATTACAGTTGCCGCCACTGTTGGAGTCCCCATTAACTAAATGCCTAGGAGACCTGGTCCTGAAAAAGGCTTTCAGCTGAGGACGTAAAGAGATTTGTGAATCGAGCCATCTTACAACTCTATGAACTGTGTAATTCTTCACGTTTGTCATATCAACAAGTATTCCGTCCTTGATTGGCTTTCCATTCAAATACATCGTCCACCCATTTGCTATAAACTTTGTCCTGATCCAGTGATGTGCTGTATTCAGAACTAAGATGTCAAACCGAGGAAGGAATTTCCTCATGAAGCTTGGTGAACGATCCAAATGCAAGGCGAATTTGAAATGTGAATCCAAGCTATTGATTCTCTCCAATTTGCATAGTGTCGATGACCAGTAAAATAAAATGGTAGTATTAGTAGAAGGGAAGCGGAAAGCCCAGCCATCAGGACGAATGGCTCCAGGATGTTTGACAAGACCATATTCTCGCCCAACATCTTTGACTTCAGGGCTTTCTTCTCCGCCGGTGGCCATACACATGAGAGAATGGAATTGTTGGCGGCCCAATGAATCTCCTATAAAAGCAATTGTTTTGTCCTGCATTCTATAATTTGTAGTCAAATTTTGAGAGATGATCATGATTAACACATGAAGCTTTGGAACAATCAACGACCGAATTCATCAAAAATCAATGTTTGTTGATGGCATGCAGCCACCACATCATAGATTTCATCCTAAGTCCATTTCTATGGCATTTTCACTTTCCTCTTAACTCAAATAATACAAAGACAAAGAGCAAGAGAAGGCCAGCAAGGTGAAGGTCATACAGAAGAATGACAATGTTGAAAAGAGAAATATGGTAAGGTAGAAATATTAATAACAGCAAATTCTTACTTTGTCAAGAATGTAAACCGATTGAACTCTGGGATTTCACAATTCACTGGCTGCCATCTATATCCCTCATATGAGAAATCTGTTCTTCGGGTCAGCCTACAAGCCCAGGCTTTTGGTAACCACCTTCTACATCCAAATCCAGAATAGAAAGGACGCCTGCTGTCGGCAACCCATCTACCCTTTGAGTAGTCACAAACTGCAGAGGCAATATTAAGTTAAATCAAATTTTCAAGTCTCCAGTAATGCTCTTTTTCATGGGAGGAAGGTGCTATATTTCAAAAAGAAAGGCAGACAAGCGGGAAAAAAGCACTTCTGCTATAAAATATAGATTCTGTTAATTAAAGAAGATAACAAAATAAACCTTGTGTGTTGGAGGAGGACATGTTAGCAACACCACCGTATTCCCTCTCGAGAGGGATTGAAGCCGTAGAATTTGTTGATGGAGCACCAAAATTATCTACAGTATTTTCTGTTTCTTCAGCCATGACTGAGGGAGAATCCATGTTCTCCATATTGTCTTCAGGGTTCACTGAAACCAGGGCATTTTCTGGGGAATTTGCAAGAGCCTCTGACCACAAAGGAAACAAAAAACACCTCATTAGAATTTGACCAAACATCACAGCACACAACTAGCAACCAGAACACATAAAAGAACAATTTGACATGTGAACTGTAGAGTTCACCATTCTTTTCATTTGGTATCCTATATGTGCTTTGCTAACATATATGAAAATGATTGTATTTTTGCTTTTCAATACCACATTTAGAGTTTGGAGATGAAATTGATTTCCATGAGAACCATTTGAAAATTACAACAGTTAACAGATAAATTTACAGGATGATACATGTAAATACATCCGTGAAAACTGGGAAACAAACCTGGAGAAGACTCTTTCTCTGCAAACTGATCTTGGTTATCTGAGGAAGACTCCAAAAGCTGATCTTGGTTACCAGGAGAAGACTCTGTAAGCTGATCTTGGGTTGATGATACAGTAGAAGCCTCTGTAAACTGATGTTGGTCTGATGACATAGAAGGCACTGATGGACCTTTTGTTGAACTCCGACGTAGTATGGCAGTAAGAATAAGAGCAATAAACATGGCATATAGACATCTCCACCCCAAGCCTTGATGATTCTTTTTTTGCATCTTTGATTATAGGCTTAAAGAGTCAAATGAATCAATCAGATTAACTTGATGCAGCTAATATCCAATATTTTGCTTTCAGCAGGAGCAAAGCATTCTAGACTTACCCAAGAAATTGACAAAAGGGAAAGAATCCAAGCAAGCTATTCTTATTAAAAAATTTGCATGCTTACATGTACAAACATCCCTCTTCACACTCAGGCCCAAAATATAAATAACAGGAAAAAGATTACCAAGTTGAAGTTTTGCTATCTTGGAAAACTCTTACTTTAAGGAAACAAATGTAGCAACTTAACATATTAAATAAGAAAGAATTTAAGGTTGCCGTTAACAATTCCTCCATTATTTCAACAATTTTCAATTTTCAGGGTCAGAACTCAGAAGTCTCAATCCAATGCATTCAGCATTATGGTTAGATTTAAAATATTGATCAATACCATTAATTCTGGTTTTCCCGGTACCGTTTTGGTTTTCCACGTTAGAGACTTTAGCATCTAACCTAGGGACACATTATATTTAAGGTTACACTTTTCCTTAATTCTTTGAGGTGATATCCCCACTTAATATGCCTTCTCAACTCAGGTCCAACATGAACTGCAGGTCTGTTAGAGTAACATCTAATCCACAACCAATTGACAATTGGTGGCATGATCACGTCTACATGATTATGAAATTTTTACTTCTTTCTTCAGTAATTAACTCATATTAGTGGGGCAGATTTCCATACCACACAACAACCAGAAACTAGATGAAGTTACAAAATTAAACAGGCAAACTTGCATTTTGTTAAAGAGAAGTAACTACCATAAACATAAAACAGTTCTGCGCAATTCAACAATTAAATAATAAATTCAATTCAAAATAATAAGAAGAAGAAGAAGAAATAGAACTGGGAAAAGAGAACCAAAGGTTAAAGTTGAAAAAAAAAAAAAAAATGGAAGTCATTCCCCAATCCCATGAAAGACAGAAAATTAAGAATAATTTTAGACTATATGAATATGAAACTTGATGAAATGTTACAGCAACAGATACATACCCGATTCCTTCTCTCCTCTGTTTCCGAGGAAATCCGCAGCACTCATATAAATCAAGTTTCCAGAATTAACATGTAGCTCTTTGTGTTTGTGATTAAGAGAAAAGAAAATTGGACAGGCTGAATCGTGAAACATGAGCTGCTTCAGCTTGAAAGTTCTGAAAGGGAAATGGAGGAAGAAAGAGACTTTTGTAGGGAAAAAGAAAAACATGAATTATTGGTTGCGACATGGTAATTAATAAGAATCAGGTACCGGTTTTGGTCTTTTCCCGGTACCGTGTTCTACCGGAACAATTATCGGTCAAACCGGCCAAGTATTTAGTCTACCGGCCGACATGAAGCTTTCCGGCCGGTACAAACCCAAACCAATTTCACGCGGGGTAAAATTAAACGCAAGGAAGCAAGGAGGGAAGGACAACATGAACATGGCATGGGACTTCGATTGCAACAAGAAGAAAGTGGACATTGTCGGGATGACGAGGAAAGCTGGAAAGGGAGGAGGAGGCGGTGGTAACATGGGCGTAGCAGCAGCGCCAAGTGTACAGTTTTCTTTGTCCATTTTTGGTGTTCATATCTATAGAAAGTGAAATGGAAGGAGAAAAGAAAGTGAAACGTGGAACAAAAACAAGGCATTGGCACTGGATGTCCGGATCCATCTATGTGTAGAGTGGGGCAAGGTGGAGAGGAGGAAGCAAGGGCAAGCGTAGGAGTAGCACCATGAATGTTAATACGCAGAGGCATAGGTATCCATTGGAACAGTATGTATTAAATATAATATATATATATATATATCGATTTTAGATTTACCATTAGAGATATATATTTTTATATAAATTAAATATAAAAGTATGAAATAACATTTAATAAGTATAAAAGAATTAATAAAAAATTAATTTTTTAAAAATTAAAAACATATTTAAAATGAATAAATTCATGAAATATTAATATTATAATATTAAATGAAACAATACATTAACATATTCTATATTTATTTATAAAAATTTATATATTCATTTCAATCTACCCAACCTAACTAAAAAATTCAAATATTTATTTAGATTTGTAATGTATTTTTTTAAATTTAAACCTAATAAAATAATTATTGGACTTATTTATTCAAAATAATAATAATTTAATATTTGAGTCATAATTTATGTATATATATTAAAAAATATAGATATTTTGTTGATAAAAAAAATAAGTATATTACACCTGACGCTTGAAGTCTAGTGACATTAGTCACCGGTGCATTCCTCTGACAGAATTTGAAACCCATCCTTCGAAAAATATGTTCAAAAAAAAAAAAAAAAGATAAGTATATTGATAAATGTGTTTTTCTAAAATATAGACACGTTTTCATGACAATGATTGGTAAGTGATATTTTGTCTTTTGTTTTATTTTTTTGAAAATATTCAAATAGGAAAAAAAACTACACGGGTAACATTTTAACCAATGTTTTTGGACCCGGCCCGGTGGCTGGCCCGTTTTGACCACCGGGTCCGGGTCAACAGGTTGAACCGGTTCACTTGATTAGTTCAACCGGTCAACTAAAGTCAACTAAAAAACTTTTTTTTGGGCATTTTTATTGAATTTTGCTTTTATACCTTACCTTCACGGTTTCACCCGAAAACGATACAGATCGTTTTGAGCAGAACAGACGAGGGAGATGAAGATGATCGGCGAAAGAGAAGAAGTGCAGCGATGGAGGAGAGGATCGACGGACGCTCAGTGGAAAAGAAGATCGACGGACGATTGGCGGTACAGAAGATCGGTGAACGATCGCGGAAGAGAAGATCGGTGGACCATCGCGGACAAGACGATCGACGGACGAGAAGATCAGTGGAAGAGACGATCGACGAACGGTCGACGGATGATCGACGGACGATCGACGGATGATCGACGGACGATCGACGGATGATCGACGAACAAGAAGATGATGAAATTTCAGCCTGGCCGATTGCAGCAGGTCGCACGAGTTCAACGGGCGGGACAGGTCTGACGGGTTTCAAAGGGCCATTTGCTTAAACGGGTTGAAGTATTCAACCGACCCGTTTTCAGGTTTGGGTCCAGTTCAACCGGTTCAACTGACCGAGCCGGACCGAGCCCAAAAACATTGATTTTAACCTATCAATGGATAGGCTAAAATTTCACTAATATACTCAAAATTTGATTGAAATAGAATCTAACCTCGTACCGTCTTGAATTAAGCCTAAAATTAGTATATACCTACTGTACCAACTAATATGAAATGGAATTGATTTGATAGCCTTCGATTGCACGATACACTTGAACGGTTGAATGGGTTAGCATGAATTTACATATATTATTTACATAAAATATTAATTATTTATTTCTTTAATTGATTGAAACTTATTATAATTTTTTAAATAAAAAAATTATCTTCTAAATACAAAAGTTGTGAAAAGTACTTGTTAATTATATCTGTAAAAAAATTGAGGAAAAATCATTACAAATCTATATTATTTTAATAAATTTTAATTGAAAGTAAATCCTCAAAAAAAATTTTGAAAGATAAATTACACTACTTTGATTATATATATACATATATATATATAAAGTGTTTTGCGAAATGTTCTTTATGAAGAATATATTTAAAAATTTATATTTTGATTAATATTTTAAATACTTTTTAGAATAGTAAAAGAATAAAAAATAAAAGTTAAAATACTTAAAAAAAATTTTGAAAGATAAATTACACTACTTTGATTATATATATATATATATATATATAAAGTGTTTTGCGAAATGTTCTTTATGAAGAATATATTTAAAAATTTATATTTTGATTAATATTTTAAAAAAATTAAATATTAAATTAAAAATTTTAATCAAATAAGTTATTTATGTAATTTTTTAGACGATTAAATACTAAATTTAGTCTTTTAACTTTAAAATATTATATAATTTTCATTCCTTAGCTATTTTTTATATTTTTTTAATCTTTTAATTATAAAAAATGCATATTTTCAATTCTTCTTTTAATTGACATGAAAATGGTTAAGGATTAACTTGACCATTTTAAAAGGTTAGACACCGAATGGGTACTTAACATAAATCTTAGTAACTCAATGATGGTTTCTCCCACTATTTTTAAAACCAAACCAGACCATCCGTCGAGCACTTGACTAACAACGATAAACACTTTTCTGGTCGACCAAAGATGCGTTTAAAACTTAAAATAATATAAATAATTAAATATATATGGAACTAGTTGGATATTTAAAAGTTTAAGAGGACCAACTATTATAATTATGTTATTTTAATAAATTATTATTGAAAAAATTAAAATAATATACTTTAAAATTAAAAATAAATTTATTTTGATTTTTTTGTGGTGTTTTAATTATTGTCTTGTAGTAAGACATTTTTTCTAATTTTTTAAAGGCTTAAGTGGACAAACACTTATTTCAATATATATTTTATTGTTTTATTAGTATATAAGTTTAAAATACTAAGCTAGACAAAAACTTTTAAATTAAAATTTAGAATGAATAATATAACATAAATTAGATCATTTAAAATATTAAAATATAAAATTTATATTATTTAATAAAAAATTTATTTACATATAAATTTTATATATTATATAACATAAAATCTTGATTAATAATTTTTTTAATTTTAATAATTAAAATTTATCATATTTTTTAAACAAAAATAATTATTTTTAATAAATATAAATAAATCTTATTTATTAAAAATAAAAAATAAATTATTAAAATTTTATATAAATATAATATATAAAAATTATATATAAATAACTTTTTATTTTATTTAATAATTTAATCTTTTTATTTATATTACATGTAATAACTTATTTAAAATATATAATCTACGTGTCACGTCACTGTTGAAATTTTTCTCATCTGTATCATTACAAGCAAGTTGAAGGGCCTGGAGAATGGTTTGCCAAACGGAAAAATAAGTAAACGTTCACCCCTCTACGGGTCCGTATCTTTGCTTCGCGGCTTTCGGAGTTCAGTCTGTCACCGTCAGTAGAATTTGATCGTTTTCATTCACGAGGGGATGCCCATAGGAGGTTTGCTTCATTTCTCATATCTCTCTTCCATGTGTTCCTGTTAGTATTTATAATTTGGCTTTAATGGATCTCCAAGGTTTCACTGAAACTTATCCAAGAAACTCTTCACTCATTGTGCTGTAACGTAATGATTAATCATGGCATCTGGTGTGTAATCTCTTAAATTGTTCTCGAGTTTGGATTCTAGAGGAATACAGGCAAGTGATAGCTAAGAAAATTGATGTAGATCTTCATTTGATTACAGAGCGCAGTCGTTGAACCTCTGATACGGCGCTTCAAATCTGTAAATATTAGTAGTATTCTTTGGCCCTTATCTAACTGATTAAGCTATACCAGGAGCCTTTGACCTAGTCTCTGAATCTTGGTAGCTCCCGTTGCATGATAATTCATGATGGGCTTTCTCATCATCTGGTTATTAGGCTGCCTTTGCTTTGTCTTAGCCTATACCTGTTTTTCCCTAAACAGCTGGTTATGGTGGTTGGAACGATATTTTTTTTTATAGGCTGATTTCAAACAGAATATTAGCTATCAGCACTCTTTCCTAACAGTCAAACCAAACAGAGCCTTGTTAAAATGAATTTTAGTGAATTAGCTTAATGGGCTTTGCCTGAGGGGCATGTTAAGATTAATACTATTCTAGGGCCCTCCTTAAGCTTTTTTGGTGAAATGGTTCTTCACAAGATCTTTGCACTTTCTTTTGGATTGGGTTTATTTTGGCCAAAATAAATAAATAAATAAATAAACTAGTGGTTTTGTGAACTGTGTTTTGAGAAGAAAATGTTGTGTTATTGATAGCCTAATGGACAGTGCATGACTTGTAGAAGCTGCAAGCAAAATGATATTCATAATTTATTTGTTTTAGAAATTTCTATTTCTTACATCATTACATAAAAGGTTTTTTTGATATATCAAAAAAACAAGAAAGTTGTTTGTGGCTTCGCATTTGTCTTGCTTACATTGTGATTGTTGGTATTCAAATTTCAACCAATATCTTTTTAAACCTAAATAATGGACCAAGGAAGTGGAAGATTTGCTTAATTCATCCACTTACTAATTTACATTGGGTTTGTCAGGGCACAGGTTAATAAAGCATTAATTGCATTTTTTTTGTCATTAATTTATATAGAAAAAATAAAAGTTGACTTTAAATTTATGAACTACCCAATTAAAGTCATCCAAGTGGTAGTGGTGTTAAAATAAATGTCTTACTTTTACATTTTTCTATAAAAATTTATTACAAAAGAATACAGTTAATGCACTTTAACTTGTGCCGCAAGGGCACAGCTTAGATAAATCCATTTACATTTTTCTACTAGCTTCACTGGTTTAATTGTTTTCTCTCAAGACTTTTGTCAGGTTCATTTTCAGGTTGACAATTTTATGATGATATTCTAGGGAAATTAGCAGCTGCTTGCATTATTTTTTACCTTTAGAACATCTTTCAGTGAATTAGTATAGCGATCATCTCAGGGGAGCTTCTGAGTCTATAGGGGAAATGAATGATACTTGTCTGATATGCTATGCAGAACTTGTATCTGCCTGCTAACTTTTCCAGTAATTACTTTTTTTTTTTTTTTTGAACAGCCTTTTCCAGTAATTACTGCAAATGCACAATTGGCTTTAGAAACTAGATACTTGTGCAATTGTTTGTGTTGGCATTTGCATGTGCAAGAGAATACTGTATATTCTTTTTCTTTTACTTACAGCTGAAGCCTCTGGAGCAAAGAAATAATACTGATAATATTTGCTGAGTTTTTGCTGAATATCTTCCACTTAGGTGAGGTTGAGATTGCCATAGTGTTTTGATGAGGATCTATGCCACTTGTAGTGTAAAGCAGGGATGAAAGGATGCAATTTCTATATACTAAGGGGAAGAAATGTTTCCATTGCTTTGATTGTTGTTGGCCTTACAACTATTCTACTTTGGGCTTGGGAAAAGAATCCTTTTATTACTACTCTCATGTTGGCCCAATATCAGTTCAGAACTCCTTCAGGTTTGTTTTCTGTATTCTGCTTGCAATTTGCATATCTTTGTATATGTTTGGCTATATGCATATGTGTCATTTTCATTGTAATCCTTTTGTAATGATTATCATAGAAGGAAATTGTTTGGTTGATGAGAAGGATGCATATGTGTAATATGATAATAAATTGGAATTCCAAAACTGCTTACAAAACCCTTAATGGTTTCTGATGTTATGAAATGCTCTACTACAACCAAATTTCTGGACAATATCATCTTTAGGTTGATTCTTATCCCTGAACCTTGCTGTTGTCTATTTTCTTTTGTAACATTGAAAATACAATAAATTGATAGGTGCATGCCTTGACTCTGAGATTGAAGAAAAACTGTTTACGGATAAGTTTTTTGGAATATTAGATTTTCTATCTGCCTTTTTCCTGAAACAGACTTGCTATGCTGCTATATATTGTTTACTTGATTGAGAAGAATTGAAGACCAAATAGTTAGATACAGCAGTGTATTGTTTGGAGGTCTGGATACTTTATTGATCTAAACCTTAATTATTTTTAATTAGATACTTGGTGCATCTCCATCTCCATTCCTTTTTGTTACTGATAAATGTGTATAACCATTCCTTTGAAACAGCATAATTTGTTAATTACATTTGGATTTTGCGGTATCATGATACTTTCCTCCCTTATTGTTCAGAGTTTCTTGTGAATGCATCAAATAATTCCTCAGTTGCCGTGAGCCCAAAATTGCATATAGAGCAAAACAATGTGTCTAGGTTGACAAAAGAAACAAAAACAATGGAAGAAATTTCTACTGGTCCTCCACCTATGAAGTCTGTAATGATGTTCACTTCTGATGTTAGAGATACTGATCGGGGACAGGTCTCCAAAAATGAAGGTAGGGTATGAACTATATTAGCATTCATTTGAAAAATGGCAAATTGTCTCACATTCAAACACAACTGTTCTTTTTGAGCTTATTATTCCAATACCTGTTTTAAATTGTTGACTGGGCTAAGTTTGAATAAAAGGTTTACCAATATCCTTGTTCAAAAGAGTTGTCTTTTTTACTGTTTCACGTTAGTTCAATGTTTTATCATTTTGGTTGCTAGTTTTGGAAGAGGACCCTAATTTCCTAAGACATGCTCAACCTACATACTTTTCATATTCTTTATTATTTGGTATGCATGGAAGTGTTATATTTGATGAGGAAAACTTGTGTTGTTACTCGTTTTAGGGTTATGTGCTGTAGGTAGATTAAATCTACTTTGTTATTGATATATGGTGCATTTGTAATCTATTTTGTTCA